AGGTAATGTAGCTTAAGTGGTGCTACACATTATGAGGAGATTTCTCCTGTGTCCAGTGAATGCAGAGATGCACATTTAACTGTGCCACAAAGTAAGAGTGCCCCTCTGTGTCCAGAAATCAGAAACAACTCCAAAATTGTTACTCCTTCATTCAGGGCTTTTTTCTTCCTAAGGCAAAAAAAAAAAAAAAAACCACCAAAAAAACAATTGAACAGCTCCTGACATGGTCACTACTTATTTCTGCACAGTGATGCATGGGAGTAACACCTGTCTGTTTCTTGCAGAGCCTGCAATGAACAGAAGTACATATTTTAAAGAAAACTACGGGAAAAGAAAGCAAGCCACTGACTTCTACCCACATGGCTGCTTTATTTTTTTTTTTTTTTTTTCCCTCGTTGTGGTTTTTAAAGCACCTCCCATTTTTGTCTCCAACACCAATGAGGATGCCCCCGGAAGGACTGACGCTTCATTTAATTAAAACAAGAAACAAGCACAGGGCGCAGCGAGCAGCATCTCCGCACATGGGGACAGAAAGCTCCGCTCATCTCAGTGCAGCTGGGCCTGCTGGGCGCAGCGCGGCCCCGGAGGGCCGTCAGACAGACGGACGGACAGACAGACATACAGGCATACGGACAGACAGACATACAGGCAGACGGACAGGCGGACGGATAGACAGAGAGACAGGCAGACGGACTGACAGACATACAGGCAGACGGGGTCCCGCAGCGCCCGGAGCTGTCCGTGGTGCTGCCAGACCGCGCCGCCCCCCGCCCTGGAACTGAACTAGCCGCGCTCCAGGAAGGCACGAGTCACAGAATCACAGAATCACAGAATGGCCAGGGTTGGAAGGGACCTCAAGGATCATGAATCTCCAACCCCCTACCACATGCAGGGCCACCAACCTCCACGTTTAATGCTAAACCAGGCTGCCCAGGGCCCCAGCAGTCCTCTGCTAATTGCACTGTGCGCGTGAACCACATGTTGCAAATGAAGTGGGAGGAGCAGCTTGTGACAGATAGGTAAAGGGACTGGCAACAGGACTCTTCCCCATAGCTTTGTGCAGCTTTAGCCCATGAAAATGGTATCATTTACAATGATATGGAATCACAGAATCACTCCAGTTGGAAAAAACCTTAAAGATCAACAAGTCCTACCACGACCCAACCATTCTACCCCGACTAACAACTCTCCACTAAATCATGTCCCTGAGCACCACATCCAAAATGTTTTTAAACACATCCAGGGATGGTGACTCAACCTCCTGCCTGTGCAGCCCATTCCAGTGCTTAACAACCTCTTCTGTAAAGAAGTGTTTCCTGATATCCAACCTAAATCTCCCTTGGCACAAGTTGAAGCCATTTTCCCTTGTCCTGTCACCAGTGAGAAGAGACCAACCCCGCTCTCACTGCAACCACCTTTCAGATATTGGAGGAGAGCAATAAGGTTTCCCCTCAGCCTCCTTTTCCCCAGACCGAACAGCCCCAGTTCCTTCAGTCTCTCCTCACAGGCTGTGTTCTCCAAGCCCTTCCCCAGCCTTGTTGCCCTTCTTTGGACCTGCTGCAGCACCTCCATCTCCTTTCTGTACTGAGGTGCCCAAAACTGAACCCAGCACTCGAGGCCACACCAGTGCTGAGTACAGGGCAGGATGACTTCCCTGGTCCTGCTCACCATTCCTGATCCCAGCCAGGATGCCATTGGCCTTCTTGGCCACCTGGGCACGCTGCTGGCTCATATTCAGCCCACTGTCCATCACCACCCCAAGGTCCCTTTCCATCAGGCAGCTTTCCAGCCACTCCTCCCAAAGCCTGTAGGGTTGCCTGGGGTTGTTGTGACCAAAATGCAGGACCTGACACTCAGCCCTATTGAAACTCACACAGTTAACCTTGGCCCATCGATCCTGTCTATCCAGGTCCCTCTGCAGTGCCTTTCTCCCCTCAGGCAGATCAACACTCCCTCCCAACAATCTACAGTGATATCACACATGTGGGAATACTGTGTTAGCACGTTTATCAATAAACCCTTAATTAGAGAATGCTCAGAAAGCATCTGGCACTTCTGGCAGAATACACTGTGTTACACAAAAACATTTTAAATGAGCTTTGTGGCACCAGTGATAAAATCCGAAACTATTGCACCAAAAAATAAAAGCCAAGAAGCAAATATCATTTTAAACCAACATCGCTGTGAAGTCAGGTAGGCACACTGTGACACACACCCTGAAGCTCCAATAGCTGCCTTGCTGGCCTGAAGCACAACCAACCACCCCTTACGGCAGTGGAAACCCATTAAAGCTTCCTGTTATCAAGTGGCTTGGCATCCATAAACTAGGTTGGAAAATTACACACACCTAGGCAGGAGGACAAGAGCAGAATTAAGTAGCAGACTTCAAAAAAGCAGGCTACAAGACTTGAGAACCAGTGAGTGGGATCCAAAACAGTCACCAGACCAAGATGATGTTCCAGAAAGAGGTAATTTTTAATTGGCAAATTCCCTTTTGTAGTGAATTACAGACCACAGCTAGCAGAGGAGTGCAGAAGTGCTCTACCCTGACTTCAGCACAACTCCTGCTGTAGAACAGATGCAGTGTTTGTGTGAAACATCCCAGGGCACCTCTGGTTCACACCCAGTTAAACTGAAGGACAGCAGTCAGAAACAGCACAGCAGGCTCTGGCACCACTGTGTTCACCACTTAGTAGGGTAACACAGCAGGAGCTTACTGCTCTGGGATGTGGGCAGAGAGAGGGGTGATGAGGTGTGAAACCAGCAATCACAATTCGGGATTTCTCAGGCCTGTAAGAACAAATGCAAGCTACTCTTAGGCTATAGGAATCAGTGAGCTAAATGCAAAGGAAGCTTGGGCTTGGTTTCCAGTGGCTGCTCCACTGTCCCCATCACACCACTCCAGATGCCAACATCACAGGAACATCCTGGGGAGGCCATGGTGAGACCTTGGAAGATAACATGCTACTGGAGGAGAGCAGAGAGCATAATGTCAGAGCAGCCAGGCAGGTGCCAAGCTGGAGTGACAAATACTAAGCAGTTTTGCCTTAGAACAGTCCTTCAGTCATTTGTAGATGGATGTCCAGTAATGAGGTACAAAAAAGTCCTGCTCACTACTGTAACCAGAAAAAAATATTTATGTAGTAGAATGCGAGCACAGTAAGAACCACCTAGAAAAGGGCAAGCTGGGGTCACCTTTTGGTGCACCCATTTAACAAAACTTCTTGTTCAGATGTCAAATTGATTATTTTTAAAGGAAAACTGCCTCTGTGCATAAAGAACAATTCCAGAATACATCTTGGTTGATGTTCTTTTCATTTCTTTTTCTACAAGGGGTTCTGGACCAGTAATGACAGAAGATCTCCTCGTAGGGTTCCCTTCTGAGGAAATTTAAGCAGCAGCCAGGCAGCCACGTGCCCTCTCCTCCCTGGATTGCTACAGAGAGACACCGTGCACAGCAGTTCGGCTCTGCACCGAGGATTAATGTCATGTGGGCAGGCAGCCCACTGCTGACCCAACAGCTGTGCCGAGCCTCAGCCTGACCCTGACGCAGCCACTTGTCCCTCAGCACTGCTACCTGTTGTGCCCAACGGATGGAGGATCGCAGTGGGGAGATACTTCAGCCCGAAAGCAAACACATGGGTCTGTTCATTTCCTCACTGCTCTGGCCACATGACCCAGCTGGACTGTGCCATCCCTGCACTGGGGTCAGAGACAGCTATGAGGATGCTGAGGTCACGCCTGCACTCTTGTCCACAGCATGAAGTCCTGATTCTCCTTCTATCAGATCTGGCTCATGGAGTATGGAGAAAGCCTAGTTGATTAACTGAAGATTTTGGAACACTGGACCAGTTACTGTTTTGAATATGACAAAAAGGGCAGAAACAGTAAGGCAAAAGCAGGAGACTAAACAGAAGCAGCTCTTCCAGCACAGCACAGCCTCTACCTGGACATGAGCCAACAGTGTGTGGTTGCAGGCCGGAAGGCCAGGCTGCATGAAAAAAGGGGTGGCCAGCAGGGAGAGGGAGGATATCAGAGAAAAGAAGGCAGTGGGGTGACCTCATTGCAGCCTTTCAGTACCTAAAGGGAGTCTACAAAAGGAGGGGAATCAACTCTTTGAAAGGGTAGATAACAGCTGCCACCAACCTCCCCATTTCATACCAGCCCAGGCTGCCCAGGGCCCCATCCAACCTGGCCTTGAACACCTCCAGGGATGGACGGGGCATCCACAGCCTCTCTGGGCAGCTGTTCCAGCACCTCACCACTCTCTCTGTAAAGCACTTCCCCCTGACATCCAACCTCAATCTTCCCTCCCTCAACTTCAAGCCATTTCCCCTTGTCCTGCTGTTATTCTCCCCATTTAAAGAGTTGATTCCCCTCCTGTTTGTAGGCTCCCTTTAGGTACTGAAGGCTGCAATGAAGTCACCCCACAGCCTTCTCTTCTCCAGGCTGAACAAGCCCAGCTCCCTCAAGCCTGTCTTCAAAGGGAAGGTGCTCAGTCCCCTGATCATCTTCGTGGCTCCTCTGGACCCTCTCCAACAGCTCCCTGTCTTTCTTGTACTGGGGGCTCCAGACCTGGACCCAGGACTGCAGATGAGGCCTCACAAGAACAGAGCAGAGGGGGACAATCACCTCCCTGTCCCAACTCATCACCTTTGGACACAAATAAGCATCTCTTAAGGGCTGCGCATCTGTCCTTAACTCTTCAGACAGCAGCATACACACGTGTTGAACGCACGCCGTTCTTTAGGAGGTTTTTTTTGCTGCGGTGAAGCTGCAGGCGGCCCGACCGACCGACGCGCGCCGGCACGGCGCTGGGCACGGCGGAGATGGCGGCAGCGCGCTCGGCGGAGCAGCGGAACGCAGAGCTGACGGACTGCCGGCCGAGCCGCGAGCGCACCGCGCTGCCCCGAGAGGCGTCACGGCGGCCCTCACGCCGACACCGGCCCGCTCTCCAGCCGCCGCCCCGCCCCCCGCCGCCCGGCCCGGCCGCCACTCACGCATGAGGATGCTGAAGGCCAGGACGCCCAGGAGCCCCTGCAGGAAGATGCCGAAGCTGTCCATCAGGGCCCCGTTCTCGCAGCCGCGCTCGCCCGGCCCCGCTCCGGGCGGCGGGCTGAGGGCCGCGCCGAGGCTGCAGTTGGGCGGCGTCACCCCCATGGCCGGGCCCGGCCGCTGCCCGCCTCGGCGGCGCACGGCGGCGGAGGCGACGTCGCGACCGGCGGCCGAGGCCGCGCCCCCCGCCCCGCTTCCTGCTCCCGGCGGCCCGCCCCGCTGCGTCACGGCGGGCGGGGCTCGGCCTGAGGCGCGGGCGCTCCGGGAGCGCGGGGCGCGGCGGCCTCGTCGGGAGGGAAGCCCCGCCCGCGCCTGGCGGAGCTGCGGCCGCTCGGTGTTAAAGCCGTCGGCGCCGGACCGATCCCGACCGTGACCGGACGGGGCGCCGTGAGCCGGCACGCACGGAGCGAGCGGCGGCGTCTGCGAGGCTCGGCGCTGCGAGGCTGCGAGCCGGCGGCTCCTCACGATGAAAGGCAGCGCTGCGCGACCTTCGGGATCCCGCGGAACGCCGGTTCCCCGCTTCCCCCCGGCCGCTCACCCGAATAGTTTCCCCAACACCTCCTTCGGATGGAAAAATCACTCGCTGGAAGCAGCGGCGTTAACAACCAGAGCCGTCCGTAACAGTTGAAGTATCTTTTTTTTTTTTTTAATTTTCTTACAACCACTTAAAACCGTCATATACCACAAACCTATGTACATTATTTACAGACAAAACAAGCAAAATAGCCATCCAAAATATTTTTTAAAAAAGCCTCTGATTAAATTGTTACACCTGCTCCGACAATGGTGGGACTTCATACGCGCATCTTCTTGTTCCTGTTTCTCTTCCATTTAGTATTTCAGTCTCACTGCATATATATATATATATATATTTATATATATATATTTATATATATTTAAAAGTTAAGGATAAAACAAGAAGCAGAAGGGACACGACACAATACGCATTTAAATCTTTGTTTAAGAATAAGCAGCTAATTAAAAAAGGCGAAATACAGGAAAAGTGCATCAGTTCCGATGAGTTAGTATAAGAAACAGGCCCAGGTGTGGAGAGCAGGTTCCCCTTAGGGCCAAGTCTCCCCAAAGGCCTCTGATTGTCTACAAAGATTATTTTTTAATTTATTTTAAACAGAAATAATAATAAAAGGAATCAAACAGGTGTGGAGAAACGTGAAGCCTCCAGAAAAAAATATTTTTCCACAAGGTTTCTTGGAAACTGGTGTTCAACAACTTTTGGGGAGTGGGCAAGAAACGTCTGTGCCCAGAATTCATTGTTCATTCACACACGTTGAGCGTGACCGGAGCAGCAGGCTGTTCCTCTTCAACTGTGCGATGCTGGAGGACTCGTGCAGGCTGCGCGTCCGCCGCTGTGCCGTCAGGATGAGTTTTGTCAGTGCAAGACCTGCTCGCTCCCATGGCTTAAAGCTGAGCCAGACACCGCTGGCTTTGCACCTAATGGGAACTTTGTCTTCCCATCAAAAAATCCATCTTTATTGTCCGGTGCATTTCGGGACAAGAGATGCAACTCTGAAGAAGCGAGAAATGACCATGGGGACAAAGTGCCACTAAACGTGAGTTGTTTTCACTAGATTTCATACAGATTCTTGTCATCATTTAAAAAAACCAAACACGCCCATAACAGTAGAGAGGCTTGCTGCACCAGATGTTCTCAAGTCCCCTTCCAGTCCTTCACCCATAAGGCTGCCTTTGAAAACAAGGCTACATGCATGCATGGGCAAGTTCAGCAGCATCCTGAAAGGTGGTTCAGCACACAATCCCTTTAAAATGGAGCCTTCAGCCAACGTGTGAAGCCTCCTGACAGAGCCTGTCTTTGTGCTTGCTTGTTGTTTGACAATTTGAGCTCTCAGTAGGCAGTAACCACTGACAGGTCTGGTTAAGGAGTACCTTTATATATGATCATCATATTTTTGGCTTTCTGGTGAGGCTACTTCATCTGAGAACCTCTTCTCTAGCAACAAGTTTGGTTCAAAAGTATTCAGTCTGCAATCTGAGTTTGACAGTTCTGAAGCCTATTCAGTTACATTCAAAAATCTCCCGAGCCACCTCTCCTTTTGCCACATTTTTGTACTCCAAACAGAAGAATGGAGTGCTCAGTCCAATCTACTGTAAATGCATTTACACTTCTGTGGACTTGGCAGCTAAATACTTCCTTCCTCCTTTAAAGCATCGTTAGAATCAAGAATAAACCCTAGCAAAGTTTAAAGCAACAACAAAATAATGCTGAAAGTTGTGAAGGAAAAAGTAATCCTAAGCACTCTGAACTCCGTACTCAGTCCCAGGAGAAACTTCAGACATCCCCAGTGTTCCACACAACACAATGAATTTCCTTTTCCTTCTGCCTTTCTCAAAGAGCAACTTGCAGAAGGGCTTGGTGCTGCACCTCCCCTCTTCTGGAAGGGTCACTTTCAGCATAAGGTGAACAGCAAGCTGCTCACGCCTTTGGGGATCATTCTACCACATTAACCTTGCATGACATTTTTAGAGGTCAGATATTTCTCTTATGGGTTCCTTGTGCTGATTCTGCACACTGCAGAAACACAACAGCAAAAGGTTGCTGCCAGTGAAGCTAAGCTTAGCACAGTACGAGTGTGACACAGAGGCACCATCAGGTTTCTAAAGCTATGATGTGCAAACCAAGGCTGGACAATGCATACAAAAATCAGACAGACAAGAGTATAAGCTGTCAGTGGGTCAGTTAAGCAGCATCTCCGTTTACCATCTATATAAACAGTACACGAGGCCTAGCAGAGGGCTCCTCTTCTTGTAATGAAGCCATCTGTGAGGTACCACTGCTTCCCTCCTGGACTTCAGCTTCGTCATGTTTTGTGATGAATGGAAATGGTAGAGGACAGCACAAACCTCTGAAGCCAATCTGAATTACTGAAGTCCCAGCAATTTCTGCTGGTAAAACACAGATAGAATCCTGAAGCCAAGGATTCAGGCATCGAGCTACCCAAAAACTCAGTTTTGAAGAAAAACAGCAGAATGTGAGCTGATTGAAGTCATATTGCTGCAAGAGGAACAAATATAAGGGCAGTTGTGTTGTCTGCCACACAGAGAGAAAAAAAACTTGAAACGGTTGTGTAGAAACACCATCCATCAAGATGCCCCAGGTATCCCTTTAAAATCCAGCAGTAAAAGAGTGCACCTTCTTCCAGGAAACAGAGTGTACAGTACCCGTGTGCAGCATAAAAACATTTCACAAATAATGAAAACATCCCTTTTGAAAATCACAACAAAAACAGATCCCATTGGGATCAGACTGTCAGTGCCTCCCAAAACAAGGCAGAAAAATCCAGCCTATAAAACATGCCAAAGGTGACCAGTAAGTCTCCCCCTATCCTCTGAAACTGACTGCTATCTTTGCTGAATAAAAGAAGTATGACTTTTGTATTTATACCCTCGGTGCCACGTGAACAGGCTCACTGAGTTATCCTTTAAGCTCTGTTCTCTCCTGACAGCTACTCTGAAGGACATCTATCTGGGAGTAACATCTCTTGGCTATGCAAGTAAACCTGCTGGGTACCAGCTTCTTTAACAACACAGGAGAGTTCTGGAATCCCTGAAGAATGACAAAAGCATCATCTTTCAGCCCAGAAGTTCTCTCTGCTGGTCAAATTTCTCAAGACAAGATGCTGACAGCAAAGCAACAAGGTTTCTTTCAAAAAACTTGTCCGGTATAATTAGTTCTCACTGAGCTTACACTAAGGGAATGGGGCAAGGAGGATCACAAAAAGAGCCAAAGCATCCTTTCATTGCCCACACACATGGTGCAGGGAAGAAAAAGGGATATTTTGTTTTCAATTTAGCTTGTTGCATGGAAAAAAAATTCTGATTGTAGCACTTCTGTAAGTAGTTCTGCCTCAGTGAGGTAGTTATTCTAAGGGGCTCGCAGCAAAAGAAATCAGAATCAGTCATGCAGTTTTGCTTACTCAAAACAGTTTTCATTGGTCGTCAATCCCCTCAACGTGTGTGGTGGATACAGACTGTGCAAACTCAGCTCCTCGTTTACAGCTCTTCGTTTACAGATGACTGATGACCTCTTCAATGAATCTACAGCTCCCAGCACCAGAATAACCTATCATTTTGTGCCCTAGAGAAGCTTGAATTCATCCACTGATCAGAGTAACCACACAGAAGCTAGCACAGAACCTAAAGACCCTGCAGTAAGCACCTTCCTGCCTCGACTGTCTTAGGATGCCAGGGTCTGTATTTGAAAAGGTAAATGAACAGGAGAAAGGATCAGGGCTGCATGCTCCCCGACTTCACGAAGCTCCTGCCCATGCTCCTCCACATACTGCTGAGAACAGGCAAAGAAAATGAATGCAAAGCACTGGAAACCTAATCCTTATGTGAAGCAGATCTCAAGCCTGATGCAAATTCCTCACATCTTTAATGGAAAGTAAGTTAAGCCCTCTTAGTTCAAGCGTGAAGCACAGGTCCACAGCAAGTGGCTGAGTGTGTTTAATGCCTAAAATTAAAATCAGCAGTTCATCCTACTGTGGGTCTACAAATAGATGCCCCTCAGGTCCTTTTTCTTTTCTCTAGAAAAAGATCAAAAAGCCCTTCCCAAACCCCCACATTGTTGTCAAGTGTGATCCTGAGTAGCTGTAAGTAGGTAAAAATACAAAGTCATGCTTTAAGATAGTTTCCAGTATGCAAACACTGGCACAGAGCTATGCTGCAGTCCTCACTGATCGCAGTTTTCTTAGTGTGTTCTCCAAGAAGACGCACAGGTAACATAGCAAAAAAGCTGCTGACAGGCTCTGTGTACATGGCCCAATTCCTTAAGAAAACGGAAACAACTTCACAGAATTGTGAAGGGCAAAATAAAGAAAATATCTTTTATCTGAAAACCAGAATAAAAGAAAATGCAGAGGCACTTTCTCTTTCCTTCCTTTCCACCCCTTCCCCCTCACCCCCACCACAGTCCATCTGTAAGAGAAGTGCAAAATAATTATTTTCTGACACCTCAGAATAAAGTAACACCCAAGTTCAGCCTGCACAGGTTTCCATTTAAGCTCTGGAACAGAAGCTCTGTATGCTTATACTGCTTTGTATTTCTGACATGCCTACAGAAGAGAGACTGCTGTGCAGCTACCTATGAGTTATCCACAAGTAGTTCCCTCCCTTTCTAGTTCATCATTTCTACTGTTCAGGCCACAGAGGTAGTAAAATCAAAACAAAGACAAAACAAAAACTCAAGAACAGAGACAAAAAAAACCCCTAAACAAAACAAGAAACAAATCTCACTCTTGCTATACTGTACATTCAGAACCTTGTGGTCACATCGCTGTCCTAACAACGAACAAATTCATCAAAATACTCCACATTAACAAACGAATGTGCACCAAGCACATTCCAAAGCCAGTGCTGTGGTAAAGCAAGTGTCCGTCCACGGGGAGGGATGGAGATTCTGCGAATCACCAGGAATATAGAAAGGTTATTTCTGGCAGCCTCCATGCGAACGTAAACAGGATTCGTTTCTCCTTTAAAAGTTCTGTGCCAACAGAACTATTGAAATGTCACTTCCCACCAGAGGAGACTTTTCTGTAACCATTAAAAAATACATTAAAAAAAGGGAACCATAGAGCAAGAGACTATTGTGTTCCCAAGCTGGCAGCTGGTAGAGTAGCCCCTGTTTTTGCACTGGCATTTTCCTCCAGATGTTGTCTTTTCTCCAAAGTGAAAAATGGAGGTTGACTCATGCTCCTGGGTTGCCAGTTCAGCTTTATTTGGCTTTCCTTGATAGAGAGAAAGGAGCGTGGTTGTGCTTCAAAGGTCTGCTTCAACTTGACTGCTTCTCAGTTAGCGAACTGCTGGTAAAAAGCAAGTTTAACCCTTTCAATGTGATGGCAAAGTTTAATAGCTGGCCCAAGTTTCAAGTCCATACACTCCTGAACGGTCGGCAGGGTCAGCAGCAGCAGTGCCTGGCCGTCAATTTCCTGTCAGAAGACAAAACCTCCATATTGACTTTGCATTTTTTCTTCCCATCTCCCTTTAGCTTTGACTTGCTGTCATTTCAGAATCGTGACCACTTGTAAATTAGCAGATTCTTCTATTCTACTCTAGCTTAAAAACTCTCACCAACAAATTAACTCCTTTCTTAAGATGTCAGCTCAAATTCACTTGCTAAGAGACAGAACGAGATGCTGTTTTGTTAACATGTATCATAAACCATACTCAGCACCAGTTCCTGTACTAGATATTTTTTTATGGCAAATTTTAATCAAGATGCATAATCTGACTCATGTTTGTACTCCTGTCGCCATACTTCAACACAAAATTCTTTACTTGCTGTGTACAACACTATGACGCTTGCAGTCAGTCTGCAGAATGAATAACATCATTTGGAGACCTCAACACAAGGGACAAAAACCCAGAAAACTAGCTACTGCCTTTGAAGTGCTGAGTGATACCCCACAGACTAAAATCTCTTCCACTAAGAACTTAGAAACCTGAACAATTGTGGCCATTTGCTTAAGTCTCCTCCGGAATCTGCAGGAAGTCGTGCATGCTTTCTTTTTTTACCCCTCAAAAATCTGTTATGCAATTTAAACTCATTCCTTTTTGTGATTCATTATAAAGGTCTAAGAATAAAGCAGCAGCTTCAGTGCTTTAACAGAAAATCATACCTGGTCGAGGAAAATTCTTGCCAGCGGTGCACAGTCAGTGGATTTGAGGAATCGCACGACGTCAGCCACGCTCCATTCCAGAGGGTTGCTGTCCAGCTGCAGCTTTTCGGCAACTTCAATCTTTATTTCCTAGACAAGCCACCCACCACAAAAAGAACTAAAATACTGTAGGTGTCACAGACCAACAATCCCACACTCCAAATATTCATCTGCCCAATAAAGCTCTAATGGTAGCTCCCAGGTTTTCACGCTCCTCGGTTGGCACAGACGTGCAGAACAGCACTGTGCTGCAGTTGGAGACCACATCCTTATCATCAGTAAGGTAAATCTAAAAGGAGGATTTCTCCAAGCCCCTGCTCAAGTTGAACTGAGGAGTGCCAACAGTTGAGAAGTGGAAAGCTCCCCATTCTATCTACAGCCATCCTCAGTTTAGTCTTCATTACGATCCTGTAATACGATTGTAATAAAAATTACGTTTTTAGATATTCTGCAGTGCCTTCACAATGTCCCTCATGGGATAACAGAGTATTTAAAAAAACACACTGGTTAATACTTGCAAGATGTTTGTGCTTGCCCAGCGCTCAGCAAAGGCACAAATCTATGTTCAGAATTACCTTGGGCGAAGGAGGCTTATTTTCATCATCGGAAAAAGAAAAGGTCCTAAGCTTCCTCTTCCTCTTGTCTTGGTCCTGAGTCAGAGAATGAGACAGCTCACTCTGTGTAGGAGAGGATGACAGTGATTTTTTCTCTGATACCTCTGATTCCTCAAGCAGTTCATCTTGCTGCTCGGATGTACTATCCTCACTCAGAGATTCTTCATCTACCTCATCCTGGTCATCCTCCTCTTCTCCTCCACTGCCCTGGATGGTGGGGAAAAAGAACACAGCAACAAAATAAAACATGGGAAGATGAGGACAGAACTACATTAGTCACCCACTTGTCAGCTGTAACCTGAAGTTATAAGGAACTGACAGTTTCTTGTTTCAAATGAAGCTGGTCCACGATCACATACCATATCTGTTAAAGCTGTCGTCAGTCTCATACCTGGGGAGATCCAGCTGGAGTGTTATCCACTGAAGTAGAAGAACGTTTTTTCTTATGAACAAAAAAATGTTTTCGTTTCTTCCGTCTTTTATTTGGTTTCTTCATGGCTACTTCCAAGTTACTGTGGCCACCCGGAGGCCTACCTATCCGCTTGTTTTTCCGCTTTCCATAATAGTGTGCTACCAGGACAGAAGAAAGGAGCATCATGTTGAAATGCACCTTCAATGTCACTAGTTATGTTTGTCCATCATCAGGACTGGAAAACCAGTAGCAGGACATTTCCCAGTAGAAATCCCATTTCTGCAAAACTTCTGAATGAGCATATCTATATTTTCCTCTTCAATTTGGTTTAAGGAAGAAGAGTTACTAGTACATTTTATTTGCCCAGTAACAGTAGATTTACTTCTTTAACTTTGAGAAATCCCAGATGATCACATTTTATTAAAAAAAAAAAAGTCATCAGCTACAGACTTCATCCACTGTCGGATGTCTCTTGTGATGTTTGTGCAGTTTTTAAACATGGCCTCAATGCACTGTTTGCTCTCACAGTGTCAAATGGTCAAATGGCTAAAAACCTAAAAAACCTAAAAGCTAAGAAGAGGGCTTGAAAGTATTTTATTTTGTTCCACAACAGAATGGTAAAAGCAATTACAATGCCACTTAAATTACAATATTAGAGCCAGTTCTTGTCCCATAAGTTGTCTTAAGAAGATAAAACTTTAAGCTCACAATAAGTTAATGCGCAGTTTTACCATTTAATATAAAGTTAATTTTTTCTGCCCTACACATTGGTGCATGGATATTTTGCAGGCCAGTGAGGGTAGCGCTCGAGCTTTTCCTTCTGTAAGCAAAGCAATGCACTTTGGATTCCTTTTGGAGGCCAAAGCCAGAGCAAAAGCAAAATATAACACCCCTCCATAACAGCCCCACCTCAGTTTGACAGCCACAGCCTACTCACTGTATTTAGTCTTTGTCAGGACAGAGCAGTTCTCTGAACACTTATCCAGCACCATCTGAGGGCCAAAAAGGTTCGGACAACATTCCAGCTTGATGCATGTTTTCCTGCAGAAATCTGCCACTCGATCTGCTGTCCTCACAACTTCCACAGTTGCACGGTAGCTCTTCCCTTTGTACCTAACATTGAAAATGTGGTCATAATTCAGGAATCCTGAAATACCCTCTGAGAAGACTATCCCAGAGTTCGGATAGTTTGTTTTCTTTGTTCACAGGGTTCTCTTTATGCGACCACGCTGTGGTGTGGACCCTAAAACAAAGACTGAGCATACTAATTCATGCTAGAATCTGCCAACCAGGCTAATAAAAGGTATCAGCAGACAGCTTCTAGTGAGCCATTCTATGTGCATGCTATGGCATATACTGTCACATTTCCAATCAGCTTTCATCTAACTGCTGAAGAATTTGTCAGGACAGTCGTTTGCCATAACTCCACATAGTGCTCTTGTTTGAATTCAAAGTAAGAAATATCAATTTCTTTTTCTTTATCAGCCTTGCAGCAACACTGACAGAGCAGCACAGTGAGTTATCTGCCATCTCATGCAGCATTCCTGCTCCCAGTCCAGCTATTGGCAAATGCTGATATGTCTTGGGGATGTCTCAGGCCTACAAATACCTAGGTGATACACTAAAAAAGAGCATTATATCATTGCACTGCAGACATCCTAGCTCTCACCGTGGTGACAAAAGAAGCACACAGCAACTTCAATGAAACAAATCAAAAGATTTTTTTTCTACTTCAGCCACAGCTTTTATTTGCATCAAACTGAAATGATCTTCCTATTATCCAAAGCCAAATACAAAGTAATCCTTCAGCATATGGAAAAATGCCCTTTTACACACAAAATCGATCCAGCAAAATGATTACTGACATATTCAAAAGCATATAGTAAAGTCTGTGCTATTGCACATTGGGAAAATCTACTCTTTAGTACGCAAATAGGGAGACTTAATTACAAGGCTACTGCTAGAGTGTAAGAGAATACCTGGATATATACAAACACAATCATTGTTTTTTTCCTAGCAAAGAAGCTCAAACCCAAAAGACTCAACAGGAAAACTAGGGAGCGCTTTGGGTAGGCTGCTGTAGAAAGACTTCCATGTCAGACCATTTCAGAGTGCTGCTACAACTTAACTTCAGAGAACTCATCTCCCACTGAGAAATGTGTGGAAATGCCATGGAAACCTGCTAAACTTTCAAAGTACTTTCAAAGCAAAAGTGTACTTTTGCTTTCAAATAGTGACACTTATCTTCAGGTGTATTCAGTAGCTCAAGCTTCACGTTCTAGTCTGCTAGTGGATATGCTGTGTTGTACCAGCACCACACCAATAACTGCTTACATGCCAACAAAGAGCACATTTGGCACATTAAGGAACATTAAATTCTGATGCACTTTGACAGACATTCACAAAGGACCTTATGAAGAGTTGGAAATTTAGCTTACAGCATGTAAAGATTCTGGCAGACAATTTTCTCATCTCTGAGATGAGTGCACCCTCAGCAAGTTTGCAGACAACCCCAAGCTGAGCAGTGCAGTGGGTACGTCTGAAGGAAGGGATGCCATCCAGAGGGACCTGAACAGGCTTGGAAATTGGGCTCGCCAAATGAGGTTCAACAAAGCCAAGTGCAAGGTGTTTCATTTGGGTTGGGGCAATGCCAGATACGTGTATAGACTGAGAGGAACTCGTTGAGAGCAGCCCTATGGAGAAGGACTTGGGTGTCCTGGTAGACAAAAGACTTAACATGAGCCATTAGTGTGCACTTCCAGTTCAAACACCAACAGGATGCTGGGCTGCATCAAAAGAGGGTGACAACAGGCAGGAAGGGGACTGCGCCTCTGCTCTGCCCTCATGAGGCCCCATATGGAGCACTGTGTCCAGGCCTGGGGAAAATTGTGGAGCTTTTAGAGCAGGTCCGGATGAGGACCATGAAGATGATCAGAGGTCTAGAGTCCCTCCTCTACAAAGACAAGCTGAGGAAGCTGAGCTTATTTAGTGTGGAGAGCTGGGGAGACCTGAGAGCGCTCTTTCAGTACTTAAAGGGAGCTTACAAATGAGAGGGAAGTCAACTTTGGGTTGCTTTATCTATGGGTAGATAGATAGAACAAGAGGGACTGGTTTTAACTAAAAGAGGGGAGATTTAGATTAGATGTTGGGGAAATTTTTCACCGAGAGAGTGGTGAGGTGCTGGAACAGACTGCCCAGAGAAGCTATGGATGCTCCATGCTTGGAGGTGTTCAAGGTCAGGCTGGATGGAGCTTTGGGTAGCCTGGTCTTATGGCAACGCTGCCCAGAGCAGAGGGGTTGGAACTAGATGATCTTTGAGATCCCTTCCAACCCAAGCCATTCTGTGATTCAATGAAATATCAGAAGTTAAAGCACAGAACAGTGTTACTAGGATCAACTGAGTGGGGAATGGGACAAGCATTTACTTGGCTTTTAGGGTCTCTCCATGCCCATGCCATGCAGCTTCTTCATCCAACTGCAGCTCTCGCAGGACACGGCTGGGTTTGTACGCTGCATTGATCAATAAAGTGAGAACCTACAGCAGGGAGGAAGAGGAGAAACTGTGTTTAGACTCCTTGTACAATAAATCTTTTTAAAGTGCTGGGGTAGAATAGGAGATCACTTCCATTCATCTGAATTATCCAGCACCAAAGAACTCATTCACAGCAGGATTACAGATACAGCCAAAATGAAAACTGAGAGCAGTCAACGCTTTAGACCTTGCCAAACCTTTAGAATCTGTCTGCAGAGTCACCAGTGTATCTAGCAACTTCCCAGTCAGTGCCTTTGAATTACACATCACTAAATTAAACTGCAGGGCTGAACACTGCAAAACTTGCACAACTTTTGGTAAATCTGAGTTACCATCTCAGAGTCTTGTTCAGCATGTGAAGATATGCCTACAAACGCTGCTGGGCTTTGCTGCCTGCCAACCTTCTGCTTGCTACAAAATCTTACTCCAGAATCTTAAGCTCTCTTCTTTTTTGGCTTTTGAGAATGAAGATAGGGCCTGTACTGTAACAAAATGAGAATTTCTCTAGTGCTGTGAAATAAGTAACTCAAAGCTCTGAAGAACCTCAAGTTAGTGGGGATAGCACAAAATCTGCATTCAGAGAAGTCTATTAGCAGATTTGCTCAAATACAGGCTATATCTTAAAATCAGATCCCCCCCTCAATTTAGAGATGTGCGTTTCTCTCCCCAATCCTGGGACTCTCTCTGCCCATTATGCATTTGACTGGGTATGAGCAAGCTTCACCAGTGAGCAAGTACTTGAACAAGCAGAGCAGAGGATATAGACCTGCCTGCAAATCTGCAATTTGTTTGCCCCCATCCCCAAGTGCTGATGGATTAGGAACATGTTTTTTGAAAAAGATGATATGCAGATAAATGATTTTAACAACTTTATGAGCATGCCAAAAGACAGGTTTTCATTTTCAAGTCGAATATTTGGAGATCAAAAGGAGGGCAAACATCTTACTCAAATGTCCACCAGGCTGCGTGCTTGTTTGACTCACAGTTACACCTTAGGAAACATGCAACCTCTCAGCTCAGATAATAACCATCCCACGACCTTTTTGGAGATTTTGGAAAAAATAGTTACTACCTTAGGGTATGTGTAAATTTTCTGCAAAGTGCTCTTAAGCATTAACAAATGGTCTTTTCCTCCTTTCTCCCCTCCTTTAGTTATGTTAGAAAGTGAATCCATGATTTAACCTGATCTTTGTACATTATATCCAAGTTAAATACACCATAAAACAAAGAACTCTTTACATTTCCCAATTACTGAAAACACATACTTTCTCCTTTCTGCTAAGAAAAACTGCATTTCCTCTGTTCTAATATCAATGGTGTAAAGGAAAACTCGGGGGCTTATCTGAAGCTAACAGCTGTTAATGAGAATGGAAGCATTCATTACAGCTGAAGATACTAACTCCTCTGGTTGTGGTAATTAAAGGTTACTAAGAGTTAGCAGTTGGAGGTTGACTTTAATTCAGATACATGGGAGGGTTATACTCTTTCCAACTATTCACAAAACGATCCACAATTTGTACATCTTTCCATTAAAAAACCTGTTTGCTCATCAGCAGTTTATGAACTCCTTAAACATATTAATTATCCATCCATAATTAGAGAGTTTATGATGTTCTGCAGATCCACCACATGCAAGCACCTCACCTCTTTCAGAACGAGAACACAGTTCCCAGGTCCCACAGACTGAGGAAGCTCTGCAATCCTGCCCTTGTTAAGGTAAGGCCCTGAGAAGCACCGGTGGTTGAAGTAGATCTTTGGGCAGCAATACTTTCCATTAATGACCACTGAGAAAGGAGAAAGCAAAGATTTAAATCATGTGGCACAATCTCCCAGCAAAGGATTATTTCTTTGCAATGCTTAATATTTTGCCTGTTGGGGAAAAAAAAAAAACAACAGGAAAGAACATTTGAATGTTCTTGAATGACCTGAATTTGGGCAAATCCTGGTGCCACATTTGCAATCCCAGCGCCAGCCATTCATGTTGCTAAAAGTACTTTTCACACTTCACATGCATATTAGCAAACTCAAGAACAGCTGGAAATCAGGCCTGTCACATTTTGGAAAAGAAACATTTCTTCCAGCAGTATGGATGTGTTGTGTTGTGGGATCACATCAGTGAGTACAGGCAGAAAGGCATCCACAACTGTTGGTAGCACAGCACACCCCAACATGGTAATTACAGACAATTTTTCCAGTCAAGTAATTGTCTGTCCCCAGGATTTCTCCACCACAGAAGCCGGCAAGGCTTTTCTCCACTATTCATTCTAAACTCGACTATTGGTTGCTTTCCATTTTTGCACTCTTTTCACTCAGTCAAACCAAAGATGTATCAACTGATGAAGTGACCTCCAATGAATTGACATCAAGTTTGTTAAGCCTGCTAAGTGCTGTTCACAATTTCAGTTCTGGCTGTTGTGTATTGTAAGATATTTAGATATGTAGAAATTGTCTTATTCTAGGAATGTTGTAGTATTTTTGATTGAGCAACACTATCACTAAAAGGTCTTAAACTGGAAAATAAATAAATGAAGTCAAATTTACATGGTGACTCTATTAAAAACCAATTAAAATGCTAAGCAAGCATGGATCATTTCAATAGAGCTGTGTTTGGTGCAGCTTCAGATGTTCATTTCACTACACAGAAAACAGCAGAAGAGGCATTTTGTTGCCAAACAAATAGATCTGCATGACTGTTTCACCAGCAGATGTACTTATTCATCATATTCATTTGCAACAGTTTAGAAAATTATTAGATTTCACCATCTGGCACGCAACACAGTTTACCATTTGAATTGCCTTTGTTTATTATGATGACAAAGTTATCATAAAAAACAGAGAAACCTACTTTTCAAAGCTAGAATCTAAGTCAAGAGTACAGATTTAGCAGGCCTATTATGATCTTCCCAGTGTTACTGAACATAGCAGGTGACAGTAAAAAAATAATCTGCATGGGTGACAGTGGGCATCTGGCTCCAGATATCTGGCTCTGCTTCTCATGTAAAAAATCTAACTTCCAGGTTTAATGCACATTTCAATTGCAGGACTCAGAGCTAATCGTATGGTTTTGTTCTCTTCACTCTTTCCTGATGTCCAACAAACAGTCAAGGATGGAAATCTTAAAACCCTTTCCTCCTCTTGTGGCTGTGCTGACAGAAGACATTTTTTTTGTTAGCCTGCCCTACCAATCAATACCTGAATCTGAGGAGTTCAGTTCCTGGTTCTTTAGTCCATCGTGAACTGTCCTTGAAGACAAAATTCTGAAATGCAAAGAAAGATGTTAGGGACAGATGGTCAGGATGACACCCCTCAGCTGCTAAAACTCAAACTCTAAAAGCCAAAGTATTTCTTGCTCTAGCTTTATTAATCTGCTTTTTACATATTCCACATTTGACAATATTCCTCACCTCATCTTTTCTTTACTTAAACATACAAACTCAACTGATTTCAATTCGGGAAGGACTGCAGCACTGCTACAGCTAGTAGCAATCATCTCTTCCTTGAAACAGGGGCAAGATGCTGATAATCACATCACATAAAGCAAGCAGACGTAGTTCACATTTTCTACTTCCTTTAACTTCATTCATACAGTAAAGCAATGTACAGTCTTACATTTTGAAAAAGAGGATTTTAAACAAAATGTGATCAAAATGAGTCAAGCACTGTGGTAAGAATCCCAATTACAAAACCATGGACAAAGAGTCTGCTCAGTATTTTAGGAACAATGAAAACATCAACAGGGCTGCTGACAGATCTGGTGTTCGTAAAGCTCTAAGTCAATAAAGCCAACTGTCAGGCATTCTACTGAGCAGTTTTGAACAAGCTCACACAGAGGAATTTCATATGCATGGCACAGTCTGTAGAAGATCTGTAGATATTAGTAGGACCCATCTTTTCTTTTTTGCTAGTTTGGTCTTGTACATCTAATATTGCCTTCCTGAATTTATTTTGTTCCACCTACTGAGTGACAGTATTCACACTGAAAAGAAACTCTCTGTAGAACTGTGCATGTTCACATTACAGAAACTATATTGTTTGAAAGGAGAATACAACCAAAAGGGAACTGAGAAGTATTCGAGTTATCTTCTTAATTACCATTAAGAAAGCTTCAAGCACACACAATTTTAAATTCACATTGTTAACATCAGGCTAGTTCTTCTTAAATGCATTCCAAAACTCACAGATACTGCAATCTTTTAAAAGTGATAGAGCAATAATTTCAAGGTCGGATCTTCAGTGACTTCATCTATCCAGTAACTCAGTTGAGTTGTGCTACCATTGTTAAAAAATAAAGCCCATGCTTTCTATATCCAACTATGGCAGTGGAAGAGGTCTTTTCCAACATTACCAACAACTGCAGCATTACAACAAACAAACTGTGGAATCTCTCTGCCCTCAGCGTAGCCTTAGTCTCCCCTGAGACAACATCATTTACTAATTAGAAGAAAACAAGACTAAACACAAACTAACCCAACACTGTTACTTACTGCTTCTCTGGTTGAACTACTGCAATCTTTTTCTGTTTATTTACTGAAAGAAAGGAGAAGAAAATAAATTCCACAAAGCAAAGAAGGCAAGCAAATAATGTTTCCACTACAGTAGATTTATTAGATACCTTTCCTTGAAGTTATATGCTATTTTTAAGTTCTGCTGTTCAAAACTGCTAAGAAGGCCTCCTTGTTGTTTTTATGCTTAAATCTACACTCCTGCCCCCCAGCCAACAGATGAAGCTCCCTCTCACTATTTCAATGCTAATCTTGGATACCATTCTTCATGCTCTGTCTATGCTGGCTCTTACAATTAGCTACCAGTATTACAATGGTGATAATAGTAGGGTAATGAAACATGTGCCTCTTGAGCACACCTCAGGCGTTGTCCCCAGCAAACAGCTGGATTTTTCAAAAAATAATCTTTTCTCTAATTCTGTTCCTCCTTCCTCTCCTGCTCTTGGCATTTCAGACACTTCCCAGATGAGTTTCTCCTGCTTTGACTTGCAGTAAATGACAGCTCATTCCAATCTTACCATTTTACAACTTTACTTAATAGACATTCTTAGTTTTCCCATCTCCCATTTAGCTTTAATAAACAGAACTCACTAACCATTTGAGAGAAGACACTCTTACGTTACTAGCATAATTGGAACAGATAGCATTTACTTTTCAAGATTTTATCATTAAGGGATCATGACCAGCTGGCACATTTACAAAGCCAATCCTCCTCAATTTAGCTCCCAAGTGTCTACCTACTCAACACTGCTTTACTAAGGCATTAATTTTGTTTGTATAAAATCAATATCAGACTCAGCCAGACATGTGGCAAGAACAGCTCATACAGATGTATGTGCATGTCATGTGTGTACATGCATGCATGCTTACATATGATTTCTTTCCTGTGGTTCATGCATTGTTTTCATGCCCTCTTACAGCCTGTGAGGGTCACAGAATAACACTCGTTTGGAATTATTGTATGGATTCCAGTTCCACTGAAGCATTTCTCACAGCTGGACCACACATGCAGGGGAACAGCTGCACAAGGCACGGATTCTCTGTACACAGTGGAAGTTTCCAAATTCAGGGATGCCAGATCTAACTGTGCAGTAACTTGCTCTTAAATGGTCTCACCATCTTTATTAAACCAGCTAGCCACTGCAAATGGAACACAGCTGATACCTATTGCTTTGCAAGGAGGTCTGAGCTGATATCCATTCGTCTCACACCAGCCCACTGGAAATATATTCATCGATTCCACACTCACTATGCAGTCAGGGATGGGCTTCTTGGAGCCTGTTAAGAAAAGCAAAACTTGATACAACTCATAAAATCCCAAGAGTTCACTCCCTTTCTAACTTACAGTGTACATGGATGTTACAGTGTACACAGATACGTCAGTATCAACTATTCTCCTCCTCTGCTGCCCAGTTACTTTCCTGATGTCATTTACTTCCACCTAGAGCTGGAGATGGAATTTTCCATCCACAGTCCAGCAGAGATGCACAGGGCATAGTAAATGCATGCTGACGTGCTTTCAATCAAGAAGTGGGTTATTATATATATGGAGAGTGTCTGATATAGACCTATCTTAATAAGGAATCTCTCTTTAAAGTTTTCTTCAAAACACCAAGTCAAAGCTTGGCTTTAAATGGAAATCACTCATTTATGAAAAACAAACAAAAAACAACCCACATTACAAGGCTCTTGCTTTCTAAAAGACGCTGATCATCCTTTCACACAGGGCACTCACTGTAACCCTAACCCTAGCACTGACCCACCACAGTGCATAAATTATATTACATAGATTATATATATGGCTTAACTAAGGTTAGCTGGGAAACAGGCAGTGCAAATGATGTGCTGTGTTTTTCTTTAGGAAACTGATCTGTTGCTGATATTCAACAGGTAGTGAGTTTGCTCCAGATATTCTTCAGATCAGATTATGGTACCACAGAATAACCCATGTGAATTCTACTCTGATCTCCCACGTCAGGCTTACCCTCCAGCTGAAGCCAGAGGTAGGAATCTCTCAACTTGGTGACTGTAGCAATGCAAACTTCCTCCGGATCAACTGGGTTCACAGCCTCAAGTTTCATATTCTCCTTAAATCCATGGTCAGAAGTTAACTAGGAAAAAGACAGAAAGCTTCAGTGAAACACCATCCATATATCCAAAGTATGATATGAATAGCTATGAAGAGGAGTAACACACAAAACCCTCACTGTTCCAGTATCACAGAATGATATCCACAGACAGAAAGGACTTCAGGTAATTAGCATATTAATTTAAAAGAAAGGCTTTATACACAGACCTCGGAAAGCACATTAGTACTCAAAATAAGGAGGCTGAGACTCACTGAAAGGAGTCAGTGCAACTCCATGCAAGGAGGGGCTCCCTGCTGCTGGCTGCAGAGTCCCACAAATAGCGTGACAAGGCTTTCTATTCTATTATTTTAGCTTGGAAGCTCGTTTTAGGTACATAAACAACATTCCTGCCTCATCCAGAAGGGTCCTAGCAGACAGCACAGGAAGTTTGCTGTCCATTTTATATTGCCTGGGTAACAGGTTCACATCTATTCAAAAATTCCTACAGAGTAGGAAGGGGTGCTTATCCTGACCTGAAGCACCTGAATGAAATGCCAGGCAGGACTCTTCCTCCATGAGCCACTCTGTAACCTAATTACAGGATCAACGTTACAAATTCTGAAACCAGCCTACAGTGAGCAACTTCTCAGAAAAGGGATAAGAAATTCAATGACCATGTTCTGAGACACTACAACTTACAAGACAGAATAAGGGCAACAAGAATTCACAGCCAGCAACAACCTCTTCAAAAAATGGCAGTTTTTCATCTCAGCTTCTTCCCTGAAGCACTGCAAAAGCCCAAATATTGTAAATGGAACTGGAAGGTAGGTGTAATGTATGACGAGGCATTCTGCTTTGGGACGCAGCAATTGTATCATTTTACCAGGAAAAGACCAAAATCTATCATGTACTTCAGGCATTGATTAATGTCAAATGATTGCCTGGTACTAATTTAAGATTGACCTGTTATTGCTTAACACAATTGAATGAATTTCTCCACAGTGAAAGGAAGGAGGATTGAAAGAGTACAGTAAGTAAATGAAAACAAGGTTCTACTGTAAGGCTGCCACGATTACTGCAGTGCCAAGGACCAGTGTTATTCTATGGCCATTCCCTGGACTCTAACACACTTCCATGTCATAGAACACTGGTTTCTTTTCAAGCTGCTTTATCACAACTGAAGCATTTAGCCTGCTACTTACTTAGCTAGGAAGACCACGTGCACCTACTACATTCAGCCCACACTTGCACTCTCTTAACTCCCATTTCACTGGTCATCACGGACAATTTAAGTCAAAAACATGCAAAATGGTTCTTCGAGCTGGAATCAAACATATAATTTACCTAATAGAAATGATGCTTTTCTGCAAGAGAACCTTACCGAAGGGAAGCAGCTCTGGGGAGCTGCCTCAGCACCACATTGTTTGAGGTAGTCTGCCCAATCGAAGTCCTGCCCAGGATAACCTAGGCAAAGAACACACAAAAGGGTTAATTTAACAGTGTGAAATGACTCATTTCAAGCTGACATGAAATTTCTTTGGATCACTCAAGCTGCTCAGCTGACTGTGGTATCCCAGAACCTGTAGCACGGCTCTCACATATCTGACATATCCTCTTTACTTTCAGTGTAGAAGGACTTTGGGCACTGCTTCACTTTGTTTCTTGTTTCTTGAAATAGTGTCAAACTAAAATTAACTTGACAAAGCACATGAAACTTGAACAGAGTAAATCTAAGCAAATAAAGGTTTTTTTTCCCCCCCCCTTTTTAAATAGAGCATCTCAAATGTGCTTAATATCAACATACTATTCCCTTAAACACCTATTAAATACCAAGCCTTTAAAGGTGGCAGTCTTTCCTAAGAGTGTCAAGTTTGCTAAAAGCTCTAAATCTGCACACATGTTTAAAGGGAAGGGTCTTAATGTGGAGCCTGTCAGGGGACAGAGCATCACTCCAACAAAAGTAGAAATTAAATTACTCTCAGAGAAATACTTTGCTTCCTTATGATCAACAAGTAACTGAAGGGAATTGGATGCAAAATAAATGTGCTGCCACAGTAGGTTGAGGCTGGCAGCATAATACCAGGGGGACAACAGCAGCAGTGATTCCAACAGTGTCTTTGAAATGTTCCCTTCCAAGGGACATCTGGGAGTAGGGTTTAAGAAATCAAAACTTTTGAAATGAGTCTCAGAACATCGTATTATCATGATGACCTACAAATAACAAGGAAGGACTTAAGCACAGAAGGACCCATGTATTTTTCTCAGTTTTATCAGTGCCAGTTGGACTTGAGACCTCACACAAATCTGAATGCCCACCATTTCCTGGGGGTCTGTAAGAAGAGAAGCTAAAAATTCATGTTAGCTCTAGACACATGCCTAGAAAGCAAGATTTCATCTCTCCCATGCAAAATTACAAATAATGCTCGGTCAAGCAAAGCAAAGACATTCTTTGCACCTGACTCAAGGAAAACCAAAAGACATACATGCTACAGTCTTTGCTCCTCTGAACTGAAGGGGTGAAGAAGGATACTGAGTCCCTGGTTTTACAATAGTACTGCAAATATGTATGTAATTCAGCAGCTGAGAATTACTCCCCATTCCCTTCCATCCTGAAGCAACATTTCAGCAATCTGCTACCTTGCCTGATAGGTCCAAGGAAAAAAAAAGCAACAACAAACCATTAACTTCTAATTGATAAGACTCTGAAGACACTTTAAGACACTGAATAACAATGTTCTGCTCTTACCAGAAGCAAAAATCCAGTGCATGGACCATAGGCTTCTGATATAATATGAACACTGAAATCAATGTTGCCTTTAGCCCTGGAACACAGTTTCCAAGAGGATTCCCATCCACTGCCATCTTCTCAAATCCAGGCACATATCCAGGAGACTTCAGTTTCACTAACTCTAAGCTCCTGTTTCTCAGAATATTTCATTCTCTTTGCTTCTCCTACAAGAGATTCTTTTGCAGAAGTGCTGTCCTGAACACAGCACTCCAGGGACCAGCAATCTTCTCCAAAGCTGAGTGAGTGTGACAAGCTTGCACAAACATACCTGGCGGGGCACTGAGATGCACGCCGTTCTTCAGACTCCACTGCACTGGAAAAATCCCAGCACTGTTGACATGGCAAATGTAAGACTGGCTGGTTGCACGCTCTGGCCTCAAGTCATCAATTTCTATCATGAAATATTTCTCATTGTACACCTGTTTTTAGCCAAAAGCAAAGCGGAGTCTTGTAAATAGCACAAATGGATCTATTCCTCCTTCCTCGTTTTGATGACTTTAAATTAAAAAGCATAAAAATAAAATGATTCAAAAATAACCTGTGGGACTCATAGTGCAGGGCAGTCTGCTGACTTATCTGGAAACTTAGGCAAAGTAAATAGTAAAAGGCAATGTGGGAACACTTAAAGAGATAAGGTTATCAAGTGCTAAATGGAATTATCTTATGACAAAAGAACACAGAGCAAACAGAACTTGCAGTCTTACTGCACGCTGGTAATAACAGGGTGCATATTTAAACAGAATCCAACTATGTCTTAGGATAGACTGCCACAAGGAGAAACACTGAGCTGCAATAAGTAGGAACAGAACAACATCGTCATCATCATCCAGAAAAACAAATTATTTTCCTTCTCTTGGAACTGCCTGCATTGTTTTAGTAATAATTGAGCATCTTATTTGAAACGACACGGTAAGCGTTTAAAAGAGAGCTAGCACTGAAATATAAGCTATTATACTGAGAGAACATCTGCTCAAAGTAAAAGAAATATTCTCTCAGATCCATACAAAAAAATTTAAAATAAGCCCTGGGTTTATGTTGTACAGCAATATTTTGAAAGCAGGTCTCTTCCAGAACCTTTTACTTGTTTATTAACACAAGAAAAGAGAAGCTGTTCAAAAATTCTGTTTGAAATCTGATTATGGTGTGGAGTTTTAATTTTAGCTTCTAAATCCACGTGTGGGCTCTTGTTTAAAGTGAGACCACTTAAATTTCAGAGCTTATACACAGGAACGACATTAACTTCTGCAAAAACAAAACAACAAAACAAATCTTCAGTCAGACACTCTGATTATGAAGGACCATATCTTGTTTTAAAAACCCAGGTTTGACAACGTCAGTTATTCGATCCTTTGAGCTTCTCTATTTATGGAATTTTTCCCATCCTTTGGCAGCTAATACTTATATTTACTACATCAAAGAGTTTATTAGACATCTAGTTTGAGGTTTCAAGATCATCAGTTAAGGAGAATTTCCAGATCTTGTGTTCACAAGGAGCAACTGAACTGAATCTCAGCAGGACAATTTAGAGAACCTGGTACCTTGAGAACTGTGGCAGGAGAGATTACAAAGGGAGCCGATGGGTCCACAGCTTCTAACTTCATGCCTTCAGAGAATGAATGCACTCCAATCACAGGTTTATCCTGAAAGATCAAGTTTCAGAATCGTTACCTGCCTTTCTTCAATAGAAAAGACCAACTTCATGAATTCAACTGAAGTAGACAACCTGACTTTTTATTGGTTCATCTGATGAAAGTAATCTGTCAGAGTACCAGCAATATCTCTACAATAAAAAGGCCAGCTGTGATACCTGAGACTGATAGTTTTCTATGAGTTTCTACTCATAGTTCCAAAGATTCCCTCCTTGGACGTTCTCTACACACAGTCAAGATTTCACAGTGCAAAGTGATCTGATAAGAACATACAAATCCTTTTTTTCCCCACTTCAGCACTCACGAGCTGGACTAAAAGAGAACTAAAGAAGTCTTCACTTCCACCTTAACAGAAGCTAACAGAGTTCCTGCTCCAGAGAGTTGGCTGTTCTGTGCAAGATTCAACAAACTGAAGAGCAACACCACCTCCTCTTCTGTTTATGGACCCAAATGAAGCTGAGAAAATGGAGCTAAGGACTAAATTGATATTCCTACTTCTCAAAATATGTCAGTTTTTTGATTTTTTTTTTCCACTCAATGTAAAATTCAGACATATTAGCAACATTTACTAACATTCAGGATCTAAGAGAATCCATTATGCAGCATATATAACTCTACCAGGTTACATTTTAGATGTCCCATGTTAAACTTTCCAATGTACTCAAATATTTAGGAGTGAGATCAGATCAGAGGATCAGAACAAGGGTTTTTTCCCAGCATGACAAGTAAGGCTCACATAATTGCGATGGGTGCATTGTCTAACTTCACAAGAACAGGATCATAGTCCGACTTTTTATTTGTTCCACTTCATTTTCAATAAGAGGAGGAAAGAGAAAAGTTTAAACGAACAAAGCAAAAACAAAAATAAATTAAAAAAAACATCCAAAACATAGAAGAAATTTTGCACAGTGACTGACTTCCCTGAATAATTTCTTAGGAATACAGCATTTTGTGGTATAGCTCACAGCATTCTATTTCATATATTGTGTCTTTACCTTAAAGAGATCTGTAGGAACCGATGACTCTTCTTCCTCCTCTTTTACCTTCTTCAGGATTTCTTGCCAATCTGCTTCACTTTTCAAAGACCTAATGGCTTAAGTAAAAAGAATGGGAAATAGTGTATGAAGTGACCATCTTCATTCCTTCCCCTCAGAAAATGGATGCAGTGATACCAAAAGTTTGATTTGTGTTACATTCATATCTGCTCAGAATCTGTGCAAGTATCTTCATTCTTAGAAACTTCCAGCTTGGTGAGACTTTTGGAAATGTTACAAGAAGGGACTGTAGTCAAACACTGCATCACCAATGTGGGGCCCAGTCTTGTCTTTCTTAGAAAACATTAACTGTCACATTAACCCTGAGGAAAACTGCTGCAGAAATGTATGACCAGAAAACTGGATAATATTAGTTTGTTCTAGGCTTGAGAAAGGAGATGTCTGAACAAATCACTGAATCTCAGAACACCCTGAGCTGGAAGGGATCCACAAGGAACTTCAGTTCCAACTCCTGTCTTCACACAGGATCACTCAAAAATCAAACCAGGCATCTGACAGTCCCAGCTGTTACTCCTTCAGTAACTGCAGATCCCACACCTCTCTATAGCAGGGGAATTACTTTTACTAGCACCATGCACAAAGGATCCCTGAAGTCAAGTCTGTAAGGACAGACGTAAAAAGGCAACAAGTCTACTAATTAGATTGAAATCAAAACCTAATGTTTTAAAAAAACATTATTCACTCAGGTAGTGCTGTGGTTCCACACAGCAACCAGCTTCATCTGGTTCCTGTCAGTGACGTGGTGTACCCTCACTACCCTCATTTCAGCAGAGATTGGTCAACTATGAGCAAAGGCACAGTCATTTCAATTTAAGCAGTCTGGGTTTTATCAGCACGATTTTTTCCTTATGCTCCACTCCCCTTCTGACCAATCCTCTGTACCCTTTTCCACACTCAGGGCACACATTTATAAGGACATTTTCGTACGATGTGAGACCTCTTTAGAGAGAGCCTGAAGTATTCTCCTAGACTTCAAGTCCCAACTGTGAAAGCTCCCATTAAGCAGTACTTCAACAACTGATTACCTTTTCCCCCACGTACAGGAATACAAACTAAAAAATAACTGTAGAGGCCCATTCCTCAGACCTTCCCTTCACACAGATAGAAAGTTTCAACAGGCAAAACCATTTAGCAATTTTTAAATGAGTGAGTGAAAAGTCTTGTAGGACTATTAGTGCTGTTTTCACTTAGTTCTTATTAGGAATAGTATTTGACAGATCATATAATGATTATTTGACCATCGTATGCATCCAGAACATGCATTTAGAGCACCAGAGTGGCAGGAGTGTTCCCCAATCTTTCTCACCATGTAAAAGATGAAAGTTTTGAAGTACCTAAAGGCGGTTGCAGGTTATATCCATTTTGAGTCGCCCATCCCACTTGATGAAGGAAAGGGTCCAAGTAGAAGACCCACTGGTCAAACTTGTCAGAATCCTCCAGCCCTTCGTATCGCAACTTGAGTCTCCCACCAACATTTTCTACCACAGTGACAATCCAGGCCTCCAGGGCATCCCGGGAGTTCTGGAGCTCCAGTCGGGAGCCTGGTGCAATGAGATCCAACGGATTTTTCCCTCTGTGAAGCTACAGAAAGAGAACAAGAAAATAAAGTCAATTATTACAACAGAACTCAAAAACCCTGCACTTCCACTTTTGTTCTGTCCCTTACCCACATTCTTTTGGAATAAATCAGGTATCAGCACACAAGCAAAGAAAGTCACATCCTTACTTACACACAGGACAACAGAAATGAGTGTTTAGAATCTCTGGTGCTTGCATCAGAGTTTCTGTACTGTCTGTTCTGTGCAATCACACATTTCACTTAAATGCTGTTTATCATTTTCAGAAGCATTATGCCTTATATATGCAAGGTTTGGAATAAACATGAATAGTTCCTTTTTAACTCATCTAGCATACAAAGAAGACTGGACAGAAAAGATGCACAGATAAAAGTGTTAATTTTGAGGAAGACATCAATAGTACTCTCCCAAAAAAAGGTGTTGCATACTTAACTAGCAGACACTAATAATGAGGTGGCCAAGTACTGTTTTAGGTTCAGAGAAGGACAACTTAACTAGCAAAGTTTAAAGATTTAAGTGAAACAATAATCTGTCCACTAGTGAGAAATAAAAAAATAATGGTAGCAGTCAGCTCAGAAAGGGAACAACCTGAATGCCTGATAAATAAAGGATGACTTCCTCAGAGTTGTATAAAGGAGGACTAGAATAGAAGGAAGACTGAAACCTAAGGAAATTTGAAAAAGGTCTTTCTTCTGATAGGGCTTATGAACATTTCACATTAATTCTATCAGGAGGAAGTTTTTCACTCAGAGGAACAGGTTGCCCAAGCAGGCTGTGGATGCCCCATCCCTGCAGGCATTCAAGGCCAGGCTGGATGTGGCTCTGGGCAGCCTGGGCTGCTGGTTGGCGACCTGCACACAGCAGAGGGTTGGAACTGGATGAGCACCGTGCTCCTTTGCAACCCAGGCCATTCTAGCATTCTATGAACAGGACAGACAGTCCAAAACTGCAGTGAAAAGTTTATTCATTATGAACTTATTATAAGTTTATTTATATAGCACAACACTATCAAAACAATGCGATGTTTTGATAGTTTGATGTTTGCAAAAGCTGTTTGATGTTTTGATGTTTGGAAATGTTAAGTTCAGCAGCATACTACGTTGCTCCTAAAACTTAAGGAAAAAAAAAAGGAAAAAAAAAAAAAAGGAACTGAATCTGAATAGTAACAAGGGGAAAAAAAAACGAAAACCAAAATGTAGCATATTCAAGCACTTACCCCCTCCAGCAGGTTAGCAGGGGCACTGCATGCTCCTTTCAGCACTTGCTGAAGGAATTCCTCCTGATCAGGTATCTTGTCTTTGATACCTAGTGAAAAAATAAGTAAAAGCAATAGGATTTAGTGGGTTTAAATGAACAACAAGCCTCTGAGTAAACCTAAGTCCACTTCTGAAATCAAGCTAAGAACTCTCTCTGGTGGAAGAGTAGCATCCTACAGAAAGTCACGGGGTTTCCAAAAACATGACAGATAACCTCACCTCCTCATCAGAGCAAAACCACATTCTCCTCATAAAAGCAACTATGAAGACAAGGCTTACAAAGGACAAAAAAATACTTTTTGTTTTATTTACCTCCCTCTTCTGCACATGGAGGCATTACCTTCAGGCACTTTGAGAACCTTCTCGTTCTGCTCACACCAGCCGATGGGGTGCAAGTCAGCTGTCATGATGTCACACCAGAAGTCAGCCTTGCGATCCTCCCCATAACCATCGTAGCGCAACAAGAGCAGCTGCCCGCAGGTAGTAATGATGGTGGCCACCCAGTAGGTGTTTTGGTCAGACTTGACAGCAACCTCTAGCTTCATACCAGGTGCAAAACCATTCTGCAAACTTGTGTCCACCTGAAGAGGAAGATCATCACACCTGAGCACCTCCCAGAACTTTGTGGAACAGGGGAGAGAACATTTCAGATGCATTCATCAGCAAAGGCCCTCAAGTCAAATGCCATTCAGTCTCCTCAGAGGAACCACCTCATCACACCATGTGACCCAAATCAGACTGAAAACCGAATCTGCATTAATGGAACCCCTCTGCATTTCAGACTATCCTTCCAACCTTTGCTTAACGCTTTGCAAGGCATCTCCCTGCCCCAGACAGCACCTCACCCACCACTGAAAAGCTTTCTAACTCACAGCTCGTCTGCCAAGCTAGACAAAAATCAAGGTCACACTCACCCACACAGGCTTCTTGTGTTAAACTATTTCTTTCAGCTTCTTTGTGCTAAGAGTCTACTTAAAATATATACATACGCTTTAGTTAATGATAGCACTGTCTCTGCCACCATGCTTAAGAAGGCATGAACCTGCACAAATTGCAGAATGAGGACATTTACAGTCTCTAACAATCTAAATAATTGTGTGCAACACTGTTACATGAATGCTTAGATTAATAAAAGCTTAAGTGATTTTTCAGTGAGTTTCCGTCTAGGCAATAGCTAAGTGCTAAACAGTGAATACACTTCATGTGTGCAGGTGAGGAATCCAACTGCCCAGCACTCCGATACTGAAATGTCAGCTTAAAAAGGAAAGGCAACACACCAACTTCCTCACCCCGCTAGCTTTTGCAAGCTCACACACTCCTGAAAGGGCAGAAAGACCCTGCGCTGCTCCCACTAAAGCAAGTTCCCAAGCCACGTTCAGTTCCACAGCCTCAGTCATAATTAAAAGTCGGACATGTCGATCCCCTGTTCTCAGCCAAATGTAACTGATGCTTGTGCTCTTCAGTGGCCCCAAATTCCATTTCTTTTTTGAGTCAGCTGCAAGGAAGGCTCTTGGTATGATGCAGATGTGGAAGCTGTTTTTTGGGTTATTTATTACCAGTGCTGTGCTGACAGCTCAGTAACTGCCACAGCTGTTATAGTCTCATCATCCAGCACATACTGATTTGCTAAAAATAAAACTAAGAAAACCACAGCAGGAAGAAAAGCACATGAGGCTGTTGTTAACTGTTTACACCCTTTAGGTTAATATCCACCACGTGGAGAACCCCCTTCATAAAAACAGAATCAGCAGAACACAATACCTGCAGACTACCTGAAGTGCTGTTTCAGAGGCAACTTCTTCAGAAAGGTAACTGCCTTGCTGAAGAGATTTTCATTATTTATCTTGCAGTCTGACCCCAAGAGAAAAGCCACAGTGACACAAAGCCTGAGAACCGAGCAGTCGATGCAGCTCTCTCTAGCTGAGCCTCCAGCAAAGCCTCATGAACTGTACTGTAGGAAACCAGCAGCAGCAGATGGAGCTATCCCTGAAGTCAGTCGTGTTCTTCAGATGGTTTCACCTATGATCCCAGCAGATGAAGCAGAGCCCAGAAGTCAGCACCCCCTCCTGGCAGCTGGGCAAGATAACACCACCGACTAACTGATAGATAACTGTACGCACATCAAGTTGCAGAAAGGAATTATGAAGAGCATTAAATAGTCCCAGAGAAAGTGTACTTAAGGTAGGATGACAGCACTGGCATCAGTACAACTCCAGGTATTTGCTAAGCTCTGCTTCCTGCCAGATCATACGCAAAAACAGTCCCTTGAATCTTAACACTGTTTAAATTTTAAAATGCAAACAAATTAAACATTAGAACATGTTTAACTTGAGAGAACAGCTTACATTTTCCAATGCCTCTTAATCATGGTGAGAGCAAAACATTCAAAACTAATGCAAGCTCCCATCAGCACAGCTAGTACTTTGCTAACACAGGCTGTGTCATCATGGGTTACATTTCCCAACCTGCTTTGTGTGCTCTCTTGTGCTGTGGGTGAAGTATTTCTCACCCACCGCTCATAATGGCAGGCTCTTACAGTTTCAAAAGAACAAAACAAAGCCTTAAGCCCCCATCCAAAATTTATTTCAAGTCAATACCAGCCCATTTTTCTTGTGCCAGCATTATTCTTCAGCTTAGTGTTTTTCACTCCTCTTTTTTAAAAGTACAAAAGTCGCTCCCTCCCAGCTCTCCTGGCATTAGATTACAGAAATGTGCCCCTCTCCCAGGGAAGCACCAAGCAGCAGGAGGCTCCAGCAGGAGGGATGGGGCTCCAGCACTGGGCCTGCAGCGCTCTGCTCTGAGCCTCTCCTGCACGGTATCCTGCAGTCACATAGCCATACATACGGCTTCATCAGACAGGCTGCTGCTGCCTACCAGGAGGCACTGAGCTCGCCCTCCTCTACCTTTTCTACACAGGTGCCTTCTAATGGACAGCAGGAACCTTGAGCGCAGGGCCTCACACTGTCGAATTTCTCTGAGCAGCAAGATGTAGGTGATGTGACAGTGCTGTAAACGCCCCCCCCCCCCCCGCTGGGCAGTTCTGGGTCAGCATTCACTTCCATTTTTTTTGCCAAGTGTATTACAGAGAATATTAAGGCTGGCCTTCAGAGATCCTAAGGGAATTCTGCTACTTTGATAGTCTACAACTGACAGTCCACAGCCGGGCCTTATTCTCAGCTCTTTTATGCCCCCATGCAGGCCCTGACAGCCTGAGCCCCTGGGCAGCCCCTCTCTAGGGCAGGTTTCCCCTCCAGAGGGCTCCCAGTGCAACACAGCAGCATGGGATGACGCTGCTGCACCCATCCTGATCCACAAAGAGCTCTCTGTGCCTCTATTACTTACATCAGCAAAACCATGCAGTGTTCTACACAAGTAGGGAATCATCCCAACCAAAGACGTGGATTTTTTTTTAAACCTAGTTTGATGTCGGTCACTCCAAACGTAATGCCTCCCATTTATTTCCGTGGAAACTACAACATACAAAGAGCACAATAACACTATTTGATATAGCAAATTCTTAGCTACAAAATACTGTTTTTCAATATAATCACCATCATCATTGAAGCATTTTTGCCAGTGATGAGCAAGAGCCTGCATGCTGCTTATAACAATCTGTGTCAGCGAGGTGACCGCAGTTGCTATTGCCATTGCTGAAACACACCACTCACCCATCACTGCTCACATCCACATAAGGAATGATCCCTAAACATTCAGCAAGTGTCAACGAATGTCAATGGGTGCCATTTTTTTTGCACGGAAGAAATAAATTTCACACCTTTGCTTGTTACACACTTCCATGTCAAACGCCATTCTGTCAGAGTGCTCCTCTGCTGTCATCTGTCGCACTGTGACAAAATGACACACAGAGTATAGGCAGGAAGGTTCAACTCTACTGCCATCCCACCAACACCAGCCTCTGATGTCATGGGCCAACATAATAAAATAGGAGGCGTTACTTTCGGAGCAGCCCTCATGTTCCTATTGCCCGCGAGGACATTGGTGAGAGCTCTTGCTTGGCACAGGGCAGCAGGCAGGGGTGTCAGAGTCATTCTGACTGTGTCTCCTACTGATGACTGAAATACAGTCACCGTGTTAATTCCCTTGACCATGACAGTAAGGTTGGTGGGCCGGTGTGACAATTAAGCGATAAGGACAGGCTTCTGTAAGAGATACCAAACAAGGTAAAGCAGACCAGAGAGGCAGACAGATGGCAGTCCTGCTACAACATGCCCCTGCTCTACTTTCACGCCATTCCTCAGCACTTCTGCTTGCTCTTGCTAGAGCCTTGATAAACCAACAAAAGCCAAGGCAAATGTAAGGTCTCTCCCCTCCAGAAATGAGAGGTCTGAAAGCCTACACTGAATGAACAACTTACAGTTACAGTGTATGGAAGAATCTCAGCAAAAAGTCCATTTACTGACGATCTTTACTAGGTATTCAAAGGCAAAGCCAAGACTTTGTCCTACTCATTACACCTTCTGATCAGTATTCTAACTACTGCAGTCAAGTGTATGGTGGAGCTATTATTTCTCCTTGGCCTCCTTGAGAACCACCACTGAAATGCTCTTTGAGAGCACACCTGAATTCTGCTTTTTGCTATTCAAGAATTATGGCAACGTCTGTCTGAAGTGCAGCCACTCTACTGCAGTTGGCAAGGAGAAATCCCTCAGAGGAAACCGAGACCAGCACCTGCTCAGGCTTCATGAGAAAAACCAAGCTTATGCTCTGGTGCAGAAAAGACTAGGAGCCTTTCTGCACCTGGGCCATTAATGGGGTCACTCTGTGCTACTCTGCTCTGTTCAGAATGGAAGGCAAGAAATAATAATAAAAAAGGTGAAATTCCAAATTTCCCATTCCTCTAAGAAGCACAATTTTAGTGAATCTTCCAGATTTCAGTACATCAGTAAATCCAGATTTCCAGTACATTCAGTACATCACTCATTCAAAGAACCCTTCAACATTCAGTGCATAAAAAAGTGATGCTGAAGACAGTAAGTAAAGACGTTCCCTTACTCACATGTTTAAAAGACCCATGAGGGGCTGCAACCGCTCCTGTGTCTTCTAGATACTCATCCCAACTGAATTCCATGTCTTCCACACCAGAACCAGCATCTGGAAGAGAAGCCAAACACCTTCAGCAACCTGTCAGCTTAAGTACGGGGCTACTAAGAACTTCAGCAAAGATGACTTCATTTCTAGGTGACTGACCACAGAAGTGTGCAATGGACTTCAGTTATGCAACTCGCAGCAGATAACGCTGTTTCACTTTCACTTGTATGTGACACTTTAAGTTGGATTTGTGCTGAAATAGTGAGACCTTGGGTATTTTGGTTAAGACAAACTATTTACACACCTAAGCGAGGGGAGTATGGGGTAAGTTCTGTATCTGTTCCAACAAATAATTAGGGCAAGACTGACAATTCTGGGCATACCAGACCTTCAAAGAATTGAATGAAAAACCACCCCAGAAAATGCAATACCATAAGTGGTTTGAAATGACAGACTTGAAAAAGAATTGCAATAAGACTCCTCTCTTTTTTTAAGCTGGAAGGTTATTTACTTCGGTGTTAAAAGGCACCAAAAGCAAAGAGAAGAATTCAGGGTAGTTTTAAGAAACACAGCTCTGAACAATTGAAATCAAGGGCTTTCAAGTGGGTCATTAAAAATACCAGCTCATAAAGTATAACAGCTTCTTCAAAGCAAGAAAACCTATTTCTAGAGATATTTAAAGCCAAAATGGGCTGAACCCACTCAAGCCATAATTGTACATTCATGCTATCAGGAAAGAGAGCACCTGTAGTGTGAGCTGTGTGCTCCCCTTTAGCCACATTTTCTATCACTATTACCACACCTGCCCCTCCTCACAGTCTCCCCTTCAGCTCCTGGCTCACCTCCCTGTTCCCCCTTCCATTGCGTTCTCTCTGATGTGCAAACCCACCCACTGAAAGCCCCAGCAGGGTAGATTTGGACCCCTATTCTGTTCAATGTGCTGCCACACTGGTTTTTCTCTGGCTGGCACAGTGTGGGATGACAAGGGAGGCTTGCTGCCGCTCTATGCAAGGAGCAGCTTTAAGCAAAACACAAAACAACAGCTTCAGTAATGAAAAGGAACAGCAGTGACGTGAGACACAAGCAAAGCTTTTCATTTCCACACAATCCTACAGCCTGCTCCAGAGCCACCTCTGTGAACAAACACGAGGTGCTCACCCTGTGTACAAGGGAACCAACCCCTGCTTTATGTATAAGAACAGAAATCTCCGTGTGTTGGACATGCAGGAGAGCTCAGTGCATAACATTCCCCACACTCCCAGCTTGTATTAGGACAGGTGGAAACTCCTCTTAGAAGGAGTAGCAGCGGGAAACACTAAGTGTCCAAAGATGGGATGAGATACTGTTACACACCATTATCTGAGCCGTGGGCAAGATCTGCCAAGCACGCTCCACAGCACTTCTTACCTCTTGAACAGAGAGAGGCAAATGTTTGCCCAAAGTTTGACCAGCTTTCAATCATTTAAAACCTGCAAGTCCTCAGACTTCAAATTCATGTTACGCTCATCTTTGACTCTCACTGTAATTCTAGGAATGGCCAATTGCTAAATTCAGAAATGCACCTTCAAATTGTGCTGTTTGCTGATGACAGTGCCTGTTTTAGTGGTGGCTCTTATCACTCCCCAGCCCAGCATCACTTCCCTTTATTTTCAGATTGGCCTCCTCTAATCATCATCCATTTGATGGGATACCTTCTTAACTTACTGAAGAAACAGACCTGGAAAAGGACAAAAGTAATCCTAGTTCACAGATTCCGGGGGAGCGAAGAGGGCCAGGCACAGAGCACAGCTGCTAGCAAACCAGCATGAAGCGGGGCGAAGCTCTGGCTGCACGTCATCCCAAGGATAACCTAACCTCACTGCAAAGCCAGAGTACGATTGCTTAACTCGTTAGAACATAATATAGCCATAAAAATGCTTACGTTCAGGAAATGGGACGAAACTTCAGCTCAAAGCAATCACTTGTGAGCAGCCCGGCACAGGCCTGCTGGCTGCTGCCCCCACCTCCCACCAGCTCCCACCCCAGGCACAGCGGCCACAGCCCATCTCACAGCACCGCTCCCAGCCCCATATACATTCCCACACCAAGAGAGCCACATCCTGCCAGGTCTCTGCCATGGTCAGAAGGGCCCAACGTGGCCAAACCCCACCAGCACTCAGCTTCTCTGGAAACTGGTTTGCCACAGGAAAAAAAAAAAAACACCAAAATTCTTGTTCAACGCTCACTGCCGAGATGAACACTTTCCACCCTCTGTTCTAGAGGATTTCCTTGCGGGGTCAGAAGTCTTCTTTTGATTGAAAAAAGCACCCAGAGCTTTTGCCACCCTTTTCAGCCCATTCTGCCTTCACTCACACGCAGGTAGGGCTCTGCAGTTGGATGAGGCTGGGCTCTCAGCCTTGCACCTCGATCATTCAGCCTCACAGAGGGAAGTTCAGGTGCCCTTAGGATGGTCCTGCAGATGTGCGAAATCTCAGAAATACACTATCTGGTTTTCTGTACCCAACTGCAGAAACACTTCCAGGTGTGGCAAAGCACTGCCCCCACAGCAGGGCTGGCTGGAAATCAGGGTTAGATCCCATCCCTTCACTGCTCACCAGCAGAACAGCTAGGGCAGAGCAGGGCCCCATTCCAGAGGAGGCTCTGACCCATTCTGTTACTGCATTCTACCAGCCCCAGCAGCTCGGCTCCATTCAGTGGGTGAGCAGATCCTGGGGCACACAGAGGATCCGTTAAATCAAGCTGCATCCCTGAGGGCCTGCATTAAACATCCAAATCAATCCAAGCTCAAATGACCAAGGGAAATGACAGGAATTTACAGCAGCAACTCACTTCTGCCATGACAAAACTTGCAGTTTAGGATGACAGATGACAACAAGGAAAAACATGTTCAGCCCACTTATTCTTAAAGCACAATTGCTTAAAGTAACGCTGTATATACACGTGTATGTATGTTCTCTCTCTCTCTCTCTCTCTCTCTCTCCACATCCTTCATTGCTTACAAGTCCCAAATGAGTCCAGCTTCTCACTATGCAGTGGGACATACTGTTCTGCACCAGCCGGATGGCTGAAGCACAGGTTACTTCGGTGGCAAAGCACAACAGTGGCAAAAGCAGGGAGAGAAACCAGATGCCGTTCTCATCCCTATGGCCTCACCATACAACCGGCTTTTGCTCATAAAGCTTTCAAATCAAGCTAACTTGTTTTGTAAGTAACATGTGAGAAGCATCCCACAGAGCTTCTGTGGAGAATGCACAGAGAATGACTCCAGAGGGCAGGAAGTCACCTGTAAGAACATTTGAAGTTCCCTTCCCATTTATCGCTGCTTCTACCAACATTATTTTCAACACCAACTCTTCCTTTCTGAATTTTACCACGTTATCTCCTGTTGCTCTCTGACAGGTTCAGGCAGAGAAAGAACACTGAATGGCACCATCTGGATACAAGGCAGGGGATTACTAAGAGCATTAGCCCTTGCATGTACCTGAATTGAAAGGAGTGCAGGCTGCTCTGCTCCTGGGACTCAAGTTAAATTCTCCCTGCAAATAACTTTCATGCATCTTTAATGTGATTGAGTTGAAGCCTGTCATACTGGACATTTAAGTACATCCCAATGAAGTCTGCAAGAACTTCAATTTAAAGCTTACTTAAAGGTTTCTCACCCTGCAACTTAGATACACTTTGATTTTAACAGCAGTTAATCTTTTCCATCAACACCAGCTGCAAGGCCATGAATAAATAAAGGCAGGTTGGAATCTGGGCAGCTGAGGAAGTCTGTGACAGGGACAAAAGCTGTCACTTCCACTGCTAGCGCAGGAAAGCATTACAGCTAACACCCTGAGCACTGCCTGGGTCCACATGCAGACAGCCAGCAAAGAAACAAACAGAAAGGAACAACAAAAAGGTGGAGGGGACGTTCCAAAAACTGCTATAAAACATCAGATGGCGACATGACAAACAACAAGGAGGGAATGCTTCCCAATGAGCTGGGACTGGTCTAACTCAAGACAGTGCAGAACGTATCACAGGACCACACCAAAACCACTGTGCATATGTTTACACGGGGAACGCTCACTGCAACTTGTCTCTGAACTGAGCACCTAACGCTCTCCTCAGTTACTGTTGCTGCTTTTCACAGCTGCTTGTACTCAAACCAGATGCTAACTTCAGGAAAATTCCTGTTCAGTCATTTCAAGAAAGTGAGAAACCCTCCAAAGCTACTCCACAAGCACAGAGAGGACTGTGTGACCTCTGCAACTTTTAGAGGAAGTAGAGAGGGACGTGCAGTCAGCCTGCTGCTGAGCAGCTGCACAGCTCCTTGCTGTTCTTAGCTCCAAAAACTCTTTTCCACACTACATGACAGAAGAGAGCACATTCCGGTGGCAGAGGAAACTCTGCATATTTATCCACACTGCTTTTTCTTGCTCATTGGAGGATACGATGCTGACAATAACCTGAGCGATTGGCTATCATTAATAATCAGAAAGCACGTTTTGGCATCAGACAGCAGGTGATATCATTCTGCCAGAAGCGCCACAGATTAAAATCATGTTTAACATTTCTTCAGTAACAGAGCAATTAGTCCTCCATAAGGTAAAAGCAGAAAGATCACTAATCATAAATTGTCTAATGAGAGGCTGCTTGTTGGACAAGTGTCAAAGGAAAGAAATGCTAATCCAATGGTTTACAGTAGTTACAGCAAATTTACTTTTTATTAACTGTCCCAATAGTGAGGGTAGGGACCTTCTCAAGGAAAGTAAACAAATCGTGGCAGGAAAAGTCAGAAAAACAGATGATCCCCCATTAGAGCATATAATCTAAGAACTCTATTTAAGAAAGCTGTTGGTATATTCCCAGCCATCCTGGACACTCTTCTCAGCCTGGTGCTACAAGGTGAACCAAAACCTGAACTAATTTATCAAAATTTACCACTCTGTAGCAGGTTAGGAGCTGATGTCCCGAGCTCATCAAAAGGGGCAGCAAGGCACATCAAAAAACCAGGACAGATTACAGTGGCACCAAATAGCTTCAATTATCTGGCTTCAAACCAGCACGTGACCTTGTGAAAATATTACAAACAACACAAAGGCAAACGAGGGCACAAAAAGATAATATTAGCCCCTTTGATAAGCAAATGCCTTAGAACAGTAGTGCTAAACTTTCCATAAGTTCATCTCATGCTGACATCATGAAGGGGAAAGCAGAGTTTCTAACAAATGTAATCAGCTCTGTGGGTCATAGAATCATAGATGTCATATTTTGTTCTCCTCTAAGCCAGTGATAACTTGCTTTTGGCAAACTTAAGACCTGCAGTCAGAACGTAACTCACCATGACTGAAGCATACAACACACTATGGAGCATTCCCTGTGCTCAGGGCTGTTCCCTCTTACTTGTCAAGTATTTTGAGAACCTGTAGCCCCACAGCTGGGCTGTCCCACTACCTGCATCATGCCGCTGTTCTCCATTCATCTCCACAGCAGCCCAATGTTATTCCAAGTAGCCAGAAGCAGGAGAATCCAAAACTGTCACAGTTTAGTGGTCATGAGTTGCCTCCCACTTTAAACCCTGCTGGCAGCCAGGACATTCATGAAGGGATCCTGAAAAAAAGTAAGAAGAAATACTGTTATGAAAATCTTTATTGGCCTTGAACTACTTCTGAAATACACCAAAAGCAGTGCGCACACACAGACAGAGCGTTCCACAGTCGTACAGTCTAAAGGTATTCCTGCCCATAATGTCCATTAGGCAAAAAGAAACGATTTTTTAAACCTTTCAGATCAAACCAGCCAACCAAATAAACAAACGACAGAAGGCAGAAATACAGTCCTACACATTCCACAATGAGAACTCGTGGCTTTCAAACCTGTAAGCAGGAGATTTCTGTTGGAACCTAATCCAGCACCAAACTACTGCAATTCCTACGAGCAATTAAATCGCTTTGTTATTACTGGTAGAAAGTAAAAGGTGAGGTCTAAAGTCAGCCCACTGCAAGTGTTTTTGTCCCCATATTTTAAGCTTAGAAATGCTTTTTAAAGAAGGTAATTTTCCAACACCCTTTGCACTTCTGCTGAATGCCTGGGAAGCACTTTCTTTCTTCCCTTCTTCCCTTCTTTTCTATGTCAGGCACTAGAAGAAGCAGAGGAAGTTTCTAAAAACTTACAGACCCCTAAAAAAGCTGCAGGTTGTAAAAACAAAGGTTGCATTTCTCATTTAAACACACTTTGAGAAACTATGGTTTTCAAGAGGGAAACTGGAGACATTTGCAAAGCCTTATATTTTTCTGAGTTGTATTCAGCTGGGATATCTAAGAAGATCACCCGAGAGTCCTCTGAGGGATTTTTTTTTCCTTTTCTTATTTTTTATTAAAGATTTTTAAAAGTATAGTAACCCCCTGCCAGAGCAAAGACAAATCCTTCAGAAAGACCATTTGCTGAGCAAATGGAAACACAAAATCTGACTTCAAATAAGCATCAGAAATGGGTGAAAGTTCTCCATGATGGCAATGCTTTGGAGATGCAGCTATGATTTCACTTCTGAGATTCTAATTGGACTTGGCATAAGATGGCTACAAATGACTAAAAGATCGTTTTGCATCCCACTACAAACACCAGCAGACTTTAAGTAGCTTTCTGCAGGCTGCACTTCCATTTGTACCGACATTCAAATAAGCAAACTGTGACTAGCAGCTGGTCTGAAAAATTCTAACACCATGTTTTTTCCTTTGAAAATTTGCCCCCTTGCTAGAAATGGAAGTATCCTCAAGCAGTTCTATGAAAAGGGCCTGAGGTGCCCATGCCTGCCAGACTCCTCCCAGGTCTATCAGAGTACGCAGAGAACAAATGGGGAAAAAAAATCATCCCAAAGTTCTGTAATCTGGGTTTGTGGAGGATTTCCATGGGGTAACTGTAAAATGCTGAGTGCAGCAGAATGCAAATGCTTGTGTTCTGAGCACCCAGGCTTGCGAGGTGGCCCCAGCGCACAGCTCAACTCAACTGCAAAGTGCTCCCATACAGAGCTGCTCCGCAGGCTGAGCCACAGGGTTTGGCATCAATTTCAGGGAACTGCACAGCCTGCCTGGGCTCTCCTGCATGCACCAGTCAGCTTCACTTCCACACTTCGTCCCCCCTTGTCATTACTGACCCACCAAGCAGAGGTACCAATTTCTGCCAGCTTCCATCACTTCTTCACACGCCCTTCAGGTCAGCACAGTGCAGTGCAAGCTGCAGCAGTTCCTCACCTCCCCTGGCTGAAGATGGTTTCACCCTACAGACAGCCTCAGTCTAGGCTTCTAAGGTTCCTTTTATCCTTTATGAAACAGGACTAGGAGATCAGCCTGATGACCCTTGAGGTCCCAATCCACGCCATTCTATGATTCTATATTATGTCCTCACGTTGTGTTACAGGAAATTTGGGTTAGGAAAAATTTCTTCTCCAAGAGCAGCCAGGTGCTGCAATGGGCTGCAAGGGAGGTGGTGGAGTCACCGTCCCTGGAGGCGTCCAGGAAACATTTAGATGTTGTACTGAGGGCCGTGGTTTGATGGGGAAACACTGATGGCAGTTGGACTGGAAGATCTTGGAGGTCTTTTTCCAACCTTGGCAGTTCTGTGATTCTATAACCTGCGCAAAGCTTGGCACACAGCAACCACCAAACTGCTTTTTATCATTAATCAGAGTATTTCTTGGTGACAACCTGTAGGACACCCATCACCTGCACACTGCTAAGACAGTGGCAGTGCTGTGACAAACACCCCATGAAGCACCCTGGCCAACAAGGTGGAGATATACCGGACAGCGCGGTCCTAACAAAATGCCCTCAAAATGTATGTGAAGTTCAAGTTATTTTCAATTTATGGTATCCAGCTCTCAGTTAACTTCTAGAATTAAAGTAGACAATATAGAAATAGCCTCATCTGGTGGTGTTTTTTTTTTTGTTTTTTTTTTGGTTTTTTTTGTTTTTTTTGTTAAACAACACTGAAATATTTAAACATCCCCAAAATTAAGAGGCTGTTTATTTTAAAGATGCCAAACATTGGCAGCTCCTGCTGAAGCTGATTGATATTCTGCCCAGGCTGGGCAGCTATTCAGCATTCGATAAGCAGCACTGTTTTCTGTACACAACAGTAAAAGCACTTGTAATTAGCACCCGCCACTGTGGATGCTTACAGTCTGGCACCCCCAAAGATTATGTTCTGATAAACCTCAAGAGGAGGGGAGCACGAGTGCTGTTGGAGCAAAGATGATTTGGAAACACTTTGGACTCCTCAGTCTCACTTCTGCATTTCAAACTTCCTTTCAGCACATGAAATATTCAGATGTTAGCAACTGGAGGCAGCATTAAAAACAGTTACAGTTCATTAAAGCCAGATGGCTCACTTGAATATGAAAAGAAATCAAACATAAGTTGGATGTTGAATTAAAGTAAATCAGCTGGCGTCTGAGGCTTAGTATTATTTTAAAACAAAGGCACACGAGACAGGGGGACACGCGGGACTCCCAGGGGCTGGGCAGGGCACTGCACAAGGGTCGTGTTGCACAAATTCCTTCATGCAAAAGAATCCAGAAAAATCTCTTGCAAAGCTTTGCGTGTGCAGTGGAAGCACGGCCCGGAGCACAGCCAGGAGCACAGCCAGGAGCACCCTGCTGCTGCATGAGATGCAGTTCCTCAGCACCTGAAACCCTTAGCTCTGCCATCGGGCTCATCCTGCAACCAGACTGTCTTGCAGCTGTCCTGTGAGCATACCTGGAGTGGGAGGAGAGGAGGTGAAGGTGCTCCCAGCCCCATGCCCACTCATACACATACCTACCCATGCCCTCTCATTTCAAGCAAATACAAATTATGCGTTCCTTAGGAGAGATAGCACACACATTTCATCTAAAGATATAACTTCTTCAGATGAAGAAGTAAAGAAGGTTTTTCTTTACTGTGAGAGTCCTGCTCTTCCTTTTAGCCGTGCCCTGCTCAGCACATCCCGCTCAACCTGGTGCCCGTGGTGGATCATTGCTGGCACTTCAGCACAAGGAGGCACCTGGGACAAAGCAGCCCTCTGCTGCCAGCCTGAAGGATGCCTGGGTAGAATGAGCCCGGGGAGAATGAGCCCAGGGGGAGCCCACAGCAGCCCCTCCTCAGCTACCAACCGCAGCCGAGCCCCAGTGCTCACACCTCCACATGCACAGCCATCCTTCTGGGGGATATTCCTGATTCATCTCACCAACTCACACGTCCACCTTCTAGAAGGGCCTTCTGCAGTTAAGATCCGTATCTCGTATCACACAGTGAGCTGGAAGGAGACCCTTCACAGCAAGGCCCTGCGCCGGCACCAAACAGCAGGCCAAGCGTCATGGCTGGCATGTGGTCCCCAGCCTGGGAAAGGGAAATCCATGTTCTTCTTCCTTCACAGAGAACATCGTGCTGGGGACAGCACCCAGCCGAGGGCATGGGCAGTGTGCTCTGACCGAGCTCTGCCAGCAGCCTGGGAGCCAGAAACGGACCGGGCCTCTGGGATGGGAGCTGCTTTTGAAAAGTTTCTTCTGAAACAAGCATTCACTTTTCAGTCTTCTGTTTGAGCAATAGAATTTACTTAAAAGAATTCTATAGCACAAGCAGAACCCAACATAAGAAAATACTTCAGGAGCCAACTTTACCTTACATCTCCTTGCAATCTGTAGTACTGGATGTACCAGAATGTTTTTAGGAAATCCATTCCAGGTAAATTGGTGAGATTTGTAGCTTGCAGTAGCTTGCAGTTCCCATTAGTTAGTATGTTCAGCACAAAAAAAAAACAAGGTAAGATACCCTGCAAGCAAATTTGGAAATCAGAACCTAAATCCCCAGCACTGAAGAAGGCTTCCAAAGCTACCAAGCTGCTCAGTTTCATTCATTCTCTTGTAGCAACATACTGACAGTACAGAAATGCCCAGATACCCCGTATCAGAGGTCACTGGCTCCTGGAAAGGGCCATATCCTCTACGGGGAAATGCAGAGCTGGGTTAGGGTACAGCCACCAGCTGCCCTCTGCCAGGACCCAGCATGAGGTGTTTGCTGCTTTGAAAATCTCCTCTTTGAATCTAGAACTGAGAGAGGCAAAAGCAAACAAATATTCTGAACAGTGTAAGCAATCATTAAAACCTGCAGTGGGAAGGAGCTGTTTAAAATTCACACATCAGCAGAGGTCTGCAAGAGCACTGCTGCTGCACACGGATAAGCAGCTCGCCCAAGTCCACAAGCAGTGCACACTGCATGGCTTAGATTTCAGGCACACTCCTGCCTCTCTAAGTCTTTTGGAGTCAAGAGAGGGTTTAAGACCTTCCTTGTAATTCAGTCTTCAGTGACTGAATTGGAAGCCTGGATACCACTCACATGTTTTCTATCTTTCATCTGTACAAGCAAGGTTTTTCAGAAGCATGTGCTTCCCTTGCACCTGACCCTCCTTAGACAAAAGACAGAGTGGGAGATGTGTCACAACCTCTGATTTATGATGGAGTTTCAATTTTCTCAAGCCATTCTAAGTGCTGTCCAGTGACTAGCAAACAGCAATTTTGGTTTTCTTTCCTACAAAGCCACCATCTGCCCCAGATCCCTCGGCTCAGGATGGTCATC